ACCAAAAATGAAGATCGTAATTGATTCGTGCTCTAAAACGCTTTGAACTATCTTGCCGTGAACGTAAACCGAAATATTCTCAAGTGCATTCTCAAGTTATGGAAAAAGTATCAGAGGACTACTTCTGCTTTGAATCGATAGTAATTCTATCGTTAAACTACAAATTCTAATGACAATTAAACTATCTTCTCTATTAAAGGATAATTTACCCAACCTATACAATCATTTCGAACGTTTAAAAGTCTCATGTCATATGTATGCATCGCAATGGTTTTTAACGTTATTCGCAGCCAAATTTCCATTACATCTTGTTTTTCGAATTATGGATTTATTTTTGTATGAAGTACGTAACCTTGATGATTAGAAGCGCGTCTCATTTATTACTTTTCTCTCTCTTTGCAGGGTTCTAATGCATTACTTGCTGTTGCACTTGCCCTATTAAAAGTAGATGTCGATCAGAGAATATGATGAATAATAATTCTCAATATCTTTTTTTGCGTTTTGTAGCGTGCTCAAAAATATTTAATTATCTTAGATTTTGAAGGTATCATGCGATATTTTCGTGTTACTTTACCGAAAAAATATCGATATGAAAAACAGGCAGATGAGTTAATACACGCAGCATATTCAGTGAGGGTAAGAATCAGAAATAGCTAGAGGTCTTTAAGTCATACATTATGATGTCATATTTTTCGTTTATTTAGATCAACGACAAAAAGTTGAAACATTATGAGAAAGAATACTACGAAATGAAAGCAGCCAATGACGAAAGTGATGAATTATTAAATAGATTTAAGGTACTTTTTGTGTTAGTCATTTTCACCTTTGTGATTGCTTTAGTTTTGCCGATTTTACTTTTCTGTTTTATTAGCGTGATAATAAACGTCTACTAGACACATGTTTTCGACTTGAGTTGGAAAACGAGATGTTAGCACTTGAACTGGTTAACGATCGAGTGAAACTCAAAGAAAAAATTGATAAAGTATATCTAATTTGAACGAATTAATACACCTGCTGCATTAATAATGATTTTTACTTTGATTTCAGTCTGATGATCATATAGAAACGTTGACACGTGAATTAAATGCAACGCGAACAATGGTGAGAGATAGTGAACTAGATACGATACGATTGAATGAAGAAATAGAAAATGTAAGATGCATGTTATTCATAGTCAGATCTAAATGTCGTCATCAGCTTTTCTAATCTAAACTATTGATACGTGAATTTGATTTATCATGTTTAGTTGAAAAAAATATTGCATCAAACCTGTAACGAGCTCCAAGAAACACAAAAAAGACTCGCAAATTACGAGCCCGTATGATGGAAAAAAAAAATCATAAACTCGAGACAACTGCATTGCATTTTTTCTTGGTTTAGAGCGATTCACAGTTGAATGATGAATTAGAAAAACAAACAAATATTCACACTGCAAAAGTTGAGAATATGCAAGTATGAACATTAGTTCTATCGAGATATCTAACTATTGCAACATTGATGCCTTGTTTTCGTAGAATCGCTTAGATCATTATTGTGATTCGTGCAAACTCTTGTTAGTAAACGATAACACTCATAAGAGCTCCTTAGCTTCAATACCATCATCTTTATCACAACACAATGCACTTTCGTCATCGAACAACTCGATTACGACATCCGATCACTCTAGCTCTACAGCTGATCATGAGCGAAGATTAAGTCAAGTTGAAGTTGAATTAGCTGAAGCACTACGTGAAAATCAACAATTGATTCACCAGTTACAAACACTTGCCGAACAAAAATATGTTGACTATAACAGTATTTCATCCAATATTCGTCGCCAACCACAACAACCAAACTTATCGGTGAACAATTGGCTGAATAAAACGGTAAACACGATTAAAGCAGCAACGCGACCGCCTAGTGGATCGCTTAGGAAACATTAGTTTACGAGCGAAAATATCAGCAATATTAAGTTCACAAATTCCGTAAAACAATTCTTGAAATTCTTAAAGTAATATAAACAACAGTCTTATTTCTAATTCTAGTAGAATTCTACAAGAATTCAGTTTTTCTTTTGGATTATGCAAATTACTCACTTCATTTTGAATTTGATATTGATTTCTCATTGTGTTTTATGTCTCGAGCAGAAAAATGTGCTTTTATATTTGACAATTGTTCTTGTATTTATTCTACTATTCTTCTCTAATCAATTTTCTGTTCAGGAAGTTGCAATAAATATCTATGTTTGTTTGTTTCTACCTTTAGAAAAAAAGATGTTATTATGTAATAATAATAATATAAAACCAGAATGTATTGTTTTTCTAAAATACAGCTTTATTTTTGTTATAGTTGTTAATTGATGAGTAAAACACTTCATTAGAAAGTTAATACACATGTTTTAAGAGGAGATAAAAAGAATGGACTGGCCCACAGACAGTATAAGTCGTTCCGACCGAAATTGATAAAAGATTGTGTGCACAGTGTTTGTAGATATGGACTTGTTCACATACTGCTCACTACTTAAGAGATATTTCTTATTGTAAATTTCGATTTTAGTAACGCACATAAGGAGATACATTCTCCTCCAAAATTTGTGCACCAGGCTAATAAAACCGTATATCCCATTATTAGCATGAACATAAACTTAACTAAAACACACTCCTCATATCGTTTCTTATCTGATTACAAGAAGACTGTTATCAGACAGTTAGCACCTGAACTCAGCGTCTGAGCTTAATATCTTACTGAAAGAGCATATTTAACAATATGCTTTTTAGTAAAATACTATTTGAATCATTGTAAGTTTTTTAATACTATTCTAATTTATGTATTAATTCTCTGCTACGTTTCTTAAAAACAGTTCACTGACAATTTAACAAAGCACTTTTAATTAGCTAAATATACATTTTTGATATGA